GCAAACAGCATGTAAGGTGCCCATTTTACAGATTGGAAATTGACACAAAGATCTGGCCATTTTTCAGAGGGAATAAGCTGGTTCAGATATAACAGCAAGCCCTGGGCATCAGCTCACACTTGCACGCAGGGGAAGCTTCTAGTGGAAATAAGCCATACTTTACTTTGCCAGAACATGGAGAACAAAACAGAATCAATCCACAGTTTGGTGTCCCGGTTTGTCAGTAAACTATGCTTTGCTGCAAATCAGCACCAGAAGATTCCAGATCTGCTTCCAGGAGCAGGAAGGAACACATGAGCCTAAGGTTCAAGGCTGCTCAAGCTCCTAATGCCAAGCCAAGGTTTGCTATTACAACTGAACACTGGCGATTCCATGACAGTCACGGCACGCAATCCAACATGCCTCGCCGCTGAGCCACAGCATAAAGTCCATGTATGCAGATGCACACAGAAGGGCCCACATTCAACCCCTGGCATCTCCTACAAGAAGGGTCACAGGTGACCGTCCTGGGAGCATCCAGGCCGAGTCCTTGGAGCACTGCAGTTCACTGGAATTATACAAGAGTGGATTCGATGAGCGAGCATGGGGCAGCCTCAAGCTTCCCAGCAACCACTTCTGACACATGCTTGCACATATTCATTAGCTCTCAGCCTGGCCTATCTGCCTCTCCCATGCTGTGAATTGCACCATGGCACCAACAAATAAGAGTGTCCCAGTCCAAGCTGTTCTATACAACACCCATCCGCTCTTCCCAAAATCTCATAATCCGTCTGGGAAGCAGGACAGAGAGAGCGGGGCATGAAAAGTGCAGCCTCCGTAACCCCCCTTGCTTAACAGGCTTTGAACCCTCTGGGGCTGACCCAGACAGAGTTAATAGCATCACCAGCTGGAGGGCATGTCTGCCCATGTTCAAATGAGCAAAAATGGAGACCTATGCAAAGACAAGGCTGTGCACTGGATTTCTCCTACGGAGGATCCATCGTTTGCAAAGGACCCTTTCCATGGCTGCCCTGCAGCATTTCCTCCCCAGTGAAATCCTTCAGGATTGCCCTCTGCAGAGTTTTAGACCTTTAGTAAAAAAAACTCTGCATAGTTTTGTTCATGCTGCTCTTGGGATTCATGTGTGCTTGTATTCATCTGTGGTACTTCTGATTTGCTAATACCAATTTTGTACTTGTTGTTGGATTTATTTTGCTTCCAGGTTAGAAGCTTTATCTGTGCAGTTGCCTGAAAGAGACTGCAAAAAGATGACTCGTGAAATTTAAAAATAAAAAGTGAACAGTGCTCAGTACTGCTCTTGGGATCATGGGGGGGGGGTGGAGATAGGGCTTTTCTTCTATGCACAAGATTGGGGTTTGCACCCGCCTGTTTCAGGATCATCACCTCACCTGGGAGATTTGAAGAAAGCTGTGCTTCAAGCTATTTTTACATCCAGGAAGCATTTCCTAGCATACATACAAATCTATGGCCGTTTGCTTTTTCTCCTTCCCTTTGACAACACTAATAAACAAAGCTGCAGACAGCACAGCAGGGTGGAGAGCTTTTCCAGGCCCCTCCAGAAGCAGCTATCATGAAAAAGAGCAAAGCTCTAAAGCCCCCAGGTGTCTTTCTACATCCTCTCCTCCGTAGCCGAGGACCACGCCAGTCAGCAACAGCGCACAACGATGCTGGCTTCTAGCCATGCGGGCTCCATGAGCAACTGCATAATGCGCGTGCATGATTGCCGTGGCTTGGTGGCACTTTTGGCAAGCCACCAGAAGCCACCCGAGGTGGAGGTTAGTGCTGCTGTGCCAAAAAGCCAAACCGAGCCACAGGAGTGGCAGCATGGACACCCGATGAAGAAAGGCTTTCCATACCTTTGAGTTATCCTGTCAAACTGAGCAAAGGCAAAAGGGGGGAAAGGACTCCATGAACTCACCTACTGTGCAACAAGCCACACCTGCCAACCCCCCCCGTCTTCATTCTAACATTCCTGTGATGTGATTTTAGCAGCAGTATGATGTGCTCTTGTTTAATCCATACAGCAATCATGTAAGGGAGGCCAGGTGAGTGATAGACAGGCCTGAAGTGGGACTCATGGCTGAGACAGAAATATGAACCCGGATGTCCCTAGCTGGACATACTAGGCAGCATTGCTGCCCTACTTAAATTAAACCACAGTTCTTTGATGCACCTGAAATAGGAAGCTGTGGTTTAATGTCAGTTTACTAATTGGAATCGAACTGTGGTTTAAGATTTGGGTTAGTAATCAGATACTGAACCACAGTTCCTTATTTCCAATGCAATAAGGAACTGCTGTTTAAAACACACACACATAAAGTTGATGCAGACAGAAGGAGGGGGGCAAGAGGTACACCGGCTTGACGCTTCTTTGCATCTTCATAAAAGACAACTCACAAAAAGAGAATCCTATAGATTATGAGCATTTTATTGTTTGAACAGCTCTGGTGTCTGCTGGATGTTTTGGACTTCAAGTCCCAGCATTCCTGGCCATTGACCACACCAGCTGGGGCTGATGGAGACTTGAAGTCCAAAACATCTTGGAGGGAACCAAGCTGATTTAGGAGGTCTGATGAAGACACTAAGACAGAGCAAGGCTTCTGATGCCGGTGACCACAAGTCCACCTCAGAGGCCCATCTCTTGCACCTTAGAGAGGTTCCTCAGATATCTAAGTATTAAGAAGGAAGAGACTTGTATGGCCAGAGAACTGGGAGCTGCTAGCCCTCTGTCTCACTCCCCCTAGGGAAACCAGCTCCTGGCCTTGCAAGAAACTGAGAGATTAAGAGGTTGTGGAGAGGTTCCTTCTCTCTTGAAGAGAAACCAACAGTTCCATAAATGTTGCACCCCTCCATGAATGAGAAACTTTGGCCACTTGCTGCAAACATGGGCCTTAAGAGTTATGTTATCAAACTGATTTATTTGATGGGCAGTGTATTTTGTTTAGTGAGGTGATGCCAAGATGCTCATCTGCCTACCTCTTCACCTCTGTGGAGACTTTTCACATTTATCAAATAGAGACCCAAACAGAGGAAAAAACAAAACCTGAAAATATGAGTTTGGATATATGGAATCCACACCTTTCTCAGGATCAGATATCAGAGCCAAAAAAATCTACTGGATTAAAAACAATCCAAAGGTTGCAAATACTTCAGTATAGCTGCAATTCCAGAAAAATAATGTTAAAATCAGGGGTACATGCAAACTATCATCCTGAGCTTGCACTGAAAGAGTCAAAAGAAAAGTACGTGCTTTTGCCATTGTTTGCTTAAAGAGACAATTACTACCTGTGAGCCACCCCGAGGCTTCAGCGAATGGGGCGGCATAGAAGTCTCCTAAATAAACAAACAAACAAACAAACAAAATGCCTTGCACTCGTGTTCAACAATCATGTCACAATTGCAATTGCACTTCCTTCTTGCACACAGTTTGAGCAGGTGACGCTGGGATACAAGGAGGCATCACAAATATCCATACCCATAGAAGTGGAAGAGATATTACATTGAGACCAAAGAATCCACAGAAAGAGTTCAATGCAGAAACAAAGTAACAATATCTTACTGTAACAGTTTCCTACCCACTTTTCCCTTGGAAAAAAGAAGATCCACGTCAGTACTTACATTTTGCCTTTTATCCAGATACAGTATGGTTGATTCTGACTTACACAGCATAACCTTACAGATTTAGTTTCACTCTGACACTACTCTTAAGTAAGCATACACCGACCTGATGTTTCACAGCACCAATCTCAACTTACTTTACAATCCTTGAAGCAAACTAGTTTCCCAGATGCTTATCGGCTGCATAACTGAGCAATAATACTCATGATGTCTCTTTTAAGTTCAAGGATTAAAGACCACAAGAACTGTAAAAGAGCAGTCTCTCGAGTTTCCTTCAGTAAATATGAAAGCAAAATCTTCTTCTACAATTGGAAGCTCAGGTGACAGCAGTGGCAAGGAGCGCTTTCCTTCAGCTTCGGCTTGATCCATCAGCTGCACCCCTACCTGGAGAACGACTGCCTGGCGACAGTGACACACGCACTGGTGACTTCCCGTCTTGACTTCTGTAACGCGCTCTACGTGGGGCTACCCTTGAAGATGGTCCAGATACTTCAATTGGTGCAAAACAGAGCTGCCAGGTTGCTGATGGGGACTGGGCATTGTTCTCATATAACCCCAGTCCTCCGTCAGCTTCACTGGCTTCCCATTGAAGTCCGGGTCCAATTCAAGGTGTTGGTGATGACCTATAAAGCCCTAAATGGCTTGGGTCCTGGCTACCTGAAGGAGCGCTTACGTCCATATACGCCCGCCCGCCCCCTGAGATCTGCGGGAGAGGCCCTTCTCCAGGAACCCTCTGTGAAAGAAATTAGGAGGGTGGGTACTTGGAGGAGGGCCTTCTCTGCGGTGGCGCCCAATCTATGGAATGCGCTCCCCAGAGAAGTCCGCCTGGCGCCGTCGTTATTTGTTTTTCGGCGCCAGGCGAAGACCTTTTTATTCAAATGTCATTTTAATTGCTAATATTATTTCCTTATTTTATTCTTTGGCCAGGGCGACTTATTTTATATTGTAAATTCATTTTATATTTTCAATGCATTATATTTTAATGTTTTGTGAGCCACCCCGAGGCTTCGGCGAATGAGGCGGCATATAAATTTTCTAAATAAATAAATATAATAAATATAATAAAAGCAAAATCATCCATTGGATGCCCAATGCATTTAACAAACTTTTTAGGATAGAAAACCAAACCTAGAAAGTAAACCTCAGGTTGTACTGAGTTTTGGAGTTGCTCTATGGTATGGGGAGAGGGGTACTGGGGAAGAAGGTTGAGGAAGCTGAGAAAATCCAAATTTTCCATCAAACTCCACAGTTACAGAATGCTCTGCTTCGTAATTAAGTCAATGAAAAGCAGCTTTCATCAGGAGCAATACCTGGACTTGCACCCAAAACTTTTAAAGGCAGTATATGAAAAATGAAATACTCTAACCTGTGACCATACTTACGTTATCACCCTTTTGTGCATGGCCTTTTAAATGTACAAGCCATAAAGATGTGATTTTTCTTAGTCTTCTATTTGTAATCTATGCCATATGAACAGTTCCAAATTTTGCAGCACTGCTTTAAAGTGACCTCTGTCTCCCTACACCCCAGCCTTCATACACCCCAAACCCAGAGAAAGACAGCATCAACCCAATTCATGCAACCAGTCTGAAAGTCACACGTGCTCTTTTGCAAGATCTTGCTTTCAATGTGCCTTTTGTTTGATGACGGGTGTTTCAACATCCTCGACTTGAACAGAAAAAGGTCAGCCCAAGTCTTCTGGCATTCATAAACCTGAATCAGGTCCTGCCAAAGAAAGATTGATGTGGTAGTAAATTTGCCTTGATCAAAAGAAGGGGGGAGGGGAGGGGGAGAGAGAGAGAGAAGTTGGAGGTAGAAACCAACTCTGCAAAATGAATCCCATTTTTTTCCTTAAAGGGAGACAGACAATTGGTCTTAGGTGCACACAAAGTAACTCACCCCCTTTCCCAAGCCTCCGTGTACGCACACCCCAGATATTCCTGACTTTTATTGCACACCACCCTTGTAAACAAGTCTACCAAAGTGGAATAACCCACTTAAACAAACAACAACACCTAACACACACACAAACACACATGTGTTAATCACTTGTAACTTAAAAGACAACCTGGCAGGACTAAGGAGCTTTCATCTCCCAGCTCCTAATTCCATGTTTTCATAATACAAACAAGTAGAAACTTTTATCCTGCACAACTTTACACTTTTAAAAGTACACTTACCGGCCCACCTGTCTAAACAACCCTGGGTTAGTCACTTGTGGCCCAAGAAGAAAGAGAATCAACTTTTGTCAGACTTCCCTGTCAGGCTTGCTTACCCAAAGCAGCTGGGCAAAATGCCTGCTTATAAGCCCAGCTTACAGTGTGTATGGTTGCTGGAGAATAAGCCAAGTCAGTAGTCCATATTTTTGTTTTGTCTCTTTGCTTGAGTCTCAAGGCAGAGCCCAACATTTCCTTTCTTCTACACATCCGTAAAACCACGAGGGGAGAAAAGTTAGCATTTACAGGTGCCAAAGAAAGGCCAAGTAATGGTAATTTCTTGCTAATCTAGCGAGACTCCAGCAGAACACCCTCTCAAACCTTGGTCCAGTGCAGACCCTTTCATAAGCTAACCGCACACCGGGTCACTGTTACCCCTGTAATTCTCTCCTGTAGCCACCTCTCCTCCTCCTCTGTTATATGAAAGATAATCATTAGATCTTTGTGGAGGCCATTCCATCATTAACCTTCCCAATTTCTAAGACCAGATCCCACCTTGCTGTCTCAAGATGAGTCCAGGGATGTGCAAAGCTCCCTTAGAAAAACTCTGCCTCACCAAGGCAGCCAAGAGTCCCACTCTGCACAGGCTTTTGCCCTGGAGAATTTTATAAGCCCCAAGAAACACAGCTTGAGTCAGTTTCCAAGCAGCCGCCTCCTCTTTGAAAGGAAACCCAGTTAGGTAGCACCCCAAGACTTCACCCAGGCATTCATCCATTCCTGCTCTCTTACTGTCTCTTGGAAACCTTTGAGGGAGTATTTGTTCAAGCTGCCAAGTTAAATCCTCCACTCTCATGTCAATGCTTGGAGGGGAGGGGGAAGGAGCAAGTGCTCAGCATCACTTGGGCTGGCTGAAGCAGAGGGAACACGCAGTATCCCCTTGCCCCGGAGAATCATGGAGCCCCTTGCACATCAGGGACTGAACCCCACAAATATACAGTGTAAAGCAACCCCCCCCCCCCACACACACATCCTAGCAGACCAAGGTGATCAAGGGGGGTGGGGGCTTAAACTGGCTACTGTCTCAACTCCCCCATGTAACTGTAGAGGTGCAAGATTTTCCAGCCACACAGGGTGAAGATCCACAACCGCACAAAAACATCCATGCGTGCGTGTGTGTGTGTGTGTGTGGGGGGGGGGGTCAGATCTGGCACGATCCCCTCTTCCAGATTGTTTTATCCAGTTCATGCTTCTTGCAGCTGGGAGGGCTGCAAAAGGCAACAGGGCAATTCAGAAGTTCTTCCTCTCACCAAAAGAGTTTAAAAAGAGCAGGAAAAGTTAGCAACGAAATTAAAAGCTTCACACGTGCGCTCAACGTACACACATCCAGAAGTTTGCAGGGCAAGAGCAAAAAACGGGCGACGGAACTCCGTTTCGCGCCCCCCCCTTTTATTTCTTTTTTTAAAGTCAGCCCAGGAGACCTTCTCGAAAAGAACATGGCAGGAAATCAAAGGCTAAATTCAGAGAGCTCCTATTTTTAATGTTTACATTCCGCAAGTGCCTTTTAACTGCCATTTTGCTTTTATTTTTTTAATTGCAGCCAGCTCGTCCCCCGTGGAAAGGGCTCCCTCCCCCCGCCCGGACTTCACAATGGCAAGAAAGCGAGCGCCGGGCTCCCTTTTCTCCGTCCGCCCGCTGCCCCCACCCGAGCGGGCTTCCTGGGCAGATGTACGGGGGCTGGAGCGCGTGCGGCGGGGAGAGAGCAGACAGAGAAAGAGGAGCAAGCCTTCCTCCAAATCCCGGCTGGCCTTTAGAATCCAGACACAAGGAATTCACGCTCGGGCAGGCTTCCCAGCGCCCGGAAAGCGCGGCCAGCCCCCTCCCTCCGGCCCTCCGCATCTCCCCTGGTCCCCCCCACCCTGGCAAGCCCTCCCCACGATCGATCGACCGGGTCCTCGTCGGGAGAATCTTAAAGGAATCGCCTTTTTGAAGCCAGTCAGCCAAAGTAAAAGCCGGCCAGGAGGGGGAGAAGGAGGGGAGAAGAGGAGAGAGGCGCGGGGGGGGGGGCACACACCAAACGAGAGCCCCAACCAGAAGCACTCCGGATTATTTTTAAACATCCTTTGTTTTTATCGCGCAGGATCCCTTCTCCCCCCGCGTCCGCCCCGAGTCAAGCGTGCCCAAATAGCAACATTGTTTCGGCTCTCCAAACTTCAAGACACACAAAGACACCTTCGCGGATTAAAAAAGGGGCCTCTGGCTTCTCTTGGGCACTCCCCCCCCCCCCACCCCGAGCATGCCCACCTCCTCTGGATTTTGTTTTTTCCAGCGATCCCTGGGAAAGGTCTGTCTCGTTCGCTTCTGAAGCCCCTCCGCTCGTTCGCCTTGCAAGAGCGCAAAGGCGAAACAGGGCTTCAGCAAACGGGATTAATCCCCCCCCCCGCTTTCTGCCTTTCCCCGGGATCTCCCGGTTTTGCCTCCCCTGCTCCGTGAGCCCCCACATGTTATCCTAGAAGCACAACCTGCCCCTTTAAGAAGTCCGCACACTGTTTTCCTGAGTCCCCTCCATTCCCAGTCTCCAGCACCGAAGCTAAAACATTTTTCTATCTCCCCCTGGATGCGTCTCCACGATCCATTTTCCGATCGAGCTTTGCTCCCATTGTTTCTAAGTCCCCGGTCGGAGCCCCAAACCCCAAGGAGAGATGTGAATGAACTGAAAGACGAAACTTACCTACGGATTAGGGGAGGGGGGGAAGGAACAAGGCTTGCAAGCGGGGAAATTTCATAGGGAAGAAAGAAGATCATGCGAAATATTCCCTCTTTCCGGTCGATTTGTAGGTCTGCTTCTGGCGGCTTTTAAATTTTAGGTCTTTAAAAAAATCTCTCCTTTCTTGCCAAAGGAAAAAAAAATCTCTCTCAGTGAAAAGAGCTCAGTGTTGGTGGGAGAATAAGTGAATCAACTACCAGAGAGCAGAGCAAGTTGAAGTGTCAAATTACATTGGCTATTTTATTACCAAAGGGCCCTGCTTCTGGCTGTTGGCAAAATCTGTCCTAGATTTCTATCTGAAAGGGAGCTGTCTCTCCTACAAGGATGCTTCCCTCTCTGTGTGTGTCTCTCTTTTTTCCCTGCCACCCCACCTTCTGACCACCTAAAGTTAAAATCTTTAAGAGCCAAGTTGAACAACGCAAATAATTGTCTTTCAATATTCCCCCCTCCCCTCCCTCCCTCCCCTCCCTCCCACCACCCGCATCAAAGGGAAGAACTTCCTGTCTGGAGAAGCGCAAATCGTGGCTCGATTGTACATAAAAATTAACCGCGGCAGGGGGAGGGCGACACACACATCCTTCGCGCCCCCCCCCTCCCCGCGCACTCGCTCCCCTGTGCAAAACGGTGCACTTCGAAAGTGGGCGATGCGTCCCCTTGGGCAGGAATTGTCAAGGTATTGTTTGCTTCGCTCTCTATGAATGGAGGTTAGCTCGCCCGAGCGCTGGCAACCTGGGGTGCTTGGCTACGTTCCTTCGCAATCTGGGTGATTTCTTTCATGGCTAGCGAACCAGTGGCTCCCACACAGCCGCGCCGCGCAGCCCCATGCGCTTTGCGCGGATGCCTGGGTGGCCCGATCCTGCTTCCTCGGATCGCCCGGCGGCCGGATCCTGTGTACTCGGCGGCGAATTCCCCTGAGGTTTAATGGGACTTACTCGCAGGTAAGCGGTACCGCCAATCCGCCTGTCGCATTTGCACTGCGAGCAAGCCCCATGGCCACAGCGGGACTTCCTGGTGGGTCAGCGCCAAGAGAAGCGGGCAGCGTCGGTCTGGCCGCAGGGAGGCCAGGAGAAGAAAGAGCGCGACGGGGAAGGCTGCGGCTCCCCCCGCCATCACTCAACCCCGCCCGAGAGGGAGGCGAGGGTGCCCATAACCCTATTCAACACTCCCGCGCGCCCCGAGAGGAGGGCTGCGAAAAGAAAGAAGGGGGCAGGCTGCATGCTTTCCGTAGCAGAGGTCCAGGGGAGGGCGGCGACGTTAATTGAAAAGAGTTTTCCAGAGGCCTCACAACACCCCCCCCCGCAATAAAAAGGGATCCCTCTCCTCGGAGGCGATAGAGGGGCGGGCGCAACCTGCCTCCTTTTCTGTGCCTTTCCACGCGCAGCCACAGCCTCCCTGGAGCTCGCGGTGGGATCTCCCCGCCGCTCCTGCGCCGCTTCTCTTCCCTCCCCCGCGTTTTAAACGGATTTTTGGCGCCAGCCCCTCTGCGAGAGCGTGGCAGCCCGCCGCTTGCTCGGAAGCAAGACCCCCGCCGGAGGGGGCTCCGCCGCCTCCCCGGCCCCGTCCGGGCGCCGGGGCCGCGCGCAGCTGCAGGGAGGCCCGAGACCACCGGGGGTTGTCCTGCTGCCAAAGTGGCGCGCCCCGGATGGAGAGAAAAGCGCCGCGGCGGGGAATTCATCGGCGGAACACCGGGGAATCCGCTCGGCTCCCCAGTGTTCGCGCGGGGAAGCACAGGGAAGCCGGTCCTCGGCAAGTCCTGCGGCCCTCCCTCTTGCCATCCCACTGCCCACCCCAATATTTCCCGGGCAATCAAGCTTTTATGACGTGCTGTTAGAGGAGCATCAGACATTCATCGCCGCTGCTTCCAGCGGGGCTTGTTAGATTATGCAATTGGAGATAAGCAATTTAAAGAGCGCCCTGCGCGTTTGCTCCTCCCCGTTCCTCATTTAGTTGCCACTGGAGGAAGAAAAATCGATTTCGAACCCTTTAAACACTCTCTCTCTCTCTCTCTCTCTCTCTCTCTCTCTCTCTCTAAATCAGCCGCCCCGCTTCACGCAGCCACCACGCCGAGCCTACTCGGAAGTAGGTGGCAGAGCGTGGGCTCACTCCCAGGTTGAAGGAATGGCAGCCCAAGGCTGCGGCGACGTTGGCGAAGGGGAGGAAGCCCAGTGGGGCGCTGCGGCGCTTGCCATCCATGTAAACCCACAAAAGGTCCGGTGCTACAGCTGCGCCGTGAATGCGAAGCGGGCACGTGTTGGTGAAGCTGGATTGTTTAGCTCGCAAGAGAAAGGAGAAGGAGACCGACGCCTTGGCGAGGCGCTTTGCATTTTCGCGCACGCAGAGAACTATTTGAGGGTTATTTTCCTCTTTCTTTGGCGAAAGCGAGGGGAAAGTGTGACCAGAACCCCGCGTTCTCCCCCAGGAAGCAGACTTGAACCGAATCGTGTAACTTCGTCGCCTCGCTCTTGCTCGATCCTCCAAAATTAATGTATGAGATTAGTGTGTGTGTGTGTGTGATGCTCTCCAAAACAGAGGGCGCCTGTTGATTTTTTGACAATTACTTTCGGGACGCCACCCACAACTCGCTCAAGCATAGCTCCTTCGATGCGCAGCACGACCCTCCGTTTCCTTGGGAGTGCCTTGCTTGGGAGTCAAATCCATGGCACTCAGCGGAGCTTCCGAGGAAACATGCATAGGATTGGGTTGCATATCGGGTTAAGTCCGCGATCCACAATCCCGAGAGATCCTTGTTTAGCTCGCAATATGGCCAGCTAGAACAGGAACCCCGTTGATCATATGCAGCGTAGGTGAATTTGCTTCAGGTAAGATCCTACACACGTTTGGACAGGAGAAGTCCTACAACTCCCAGGATTCCCCTGGCTGACTGGGCAATGCTGGGAATTATAGGACTTCTTTCGAGCTGCGAGCTGCTGAAATGCAAGTACTTCGGCGTTATCCACCTCCCCGCCCGCTTCCCTCCCTGTTCACGTACCCTAACCTCATTAGGACAGAGCTGCTTCTCTTCCTAGCGCGCCCTAATCCTGAATTTCAAAGACCCACGCCAGTCTTTCTGCCTCCGCTTGGCTTTCGTGTGTCTGCCTGAAAAGCCTCGTCCGGGGGGAGGAGCGGGGGGGTCCCGGGGGCACTTGCACG